GGATGGGAGCATGCGACGAAACGGTGGAGGGAAAGGAACCCAATTAGAAACATAAAATAGAGCAAAAGGAGTGGAGTATTGGTAGGGAAAAACTGAATAAGAAGTGGAAAAATGAAGAGTAAAAAGAGAAGAATTTAAAGAGGCTGGATATAACAGGAAAGAAGGGGGAGGGAATCAACGGATGGAGAAAAATGAGAGAATACAGAGATCAAGATGAAGAGAAAGATAGAGACAAGTTCTTACTATCCTCGTCGTTTTATCCCTCCCTCCTCTGTCTCTCTTTCGCTCTCGCTCTCTCTCTCTCTCTCGCTGTCTCTCTTTGGGGCAGAAACGTGGGCGTGGACGTAGGCGAGGTAAGCCTTCAGGGCCGGCGAACATCGACCGATCCAACTGAACGCATCGTAAATCGTGACCTGCCTCGTGATTCTCTCGAACGCGAACACTGATAGACACACCGATACGATTCATCATCAGTTCAAATTTTGTGGTGGCCAACGGAAAACAACGCTCCGTTTCTTGTCGAATTCAAAGACAGTAGCGAGATTTATAATTGAGCCAGCTTCTGAGAAGCACGAAGTAGTATAAGTCAACGCTTCTAGTGCATTTCTTTTTAGATTTGATCTACCTTTTGACGAACATCTTAACGTCAATATCATCGTAAAATGCAGTTTTGTAATGGCAGAACAAATACTAGCAAATGGAATCCTATTTATAATGCTGCACTCTTAAGAATATTTTACTATGATTCTCAACGTGTCGATTATTCAAAACTGACGGGATCAGCAAATATTGGCGGGTGAATGAAGAAACGAAGTAAACCAGGCGACAAATGCAAACAAGAGCATAAGGGAAATTAACAATTGTACGCCGGCGACATGTTCGTGACGCGGGGAATCGCATGGAAATGAAATCGGAAGACGTCCGTAATTTGTCGCTCGACAGCGGACAATGAGAAAACAAGGAGAAAAAAGACTAACGAACGGTTTATCGATAATGTGTTTTAAACGGTGCAATATCGGGACGAAAGCGTAAATACGTAAAATCGCGTCGCGTTTGTCGTGCAGTAATATCCATAATCAGTCGTATCGGGAACACGAAACGACGTGTCTCACGTGTCTGAATGGACTCCAGCGGAAAAACGTTAAAACGAGCTTTGATTTTAATTTCCTGCACTCTGTCCCCCCGTCGCGTTGCGTAGGTGGCCTGCGGCTTTCGAATTCCCGTTGCCACGATCGATGAACGTTCGTGTCGTCACATGAGAACCCTCCTTTAATACCTCTCCCTCTCATTAAAGCCGTCCGCTGAACTCGGAGAGTAGCATCCTAATGCTATTTACACAAGTGCTCCGCCGGAGCGAAAGGGCGTTCGAAACAGTACCTCGTGTGTACCTCCTCTCTTCTCTTCGCATCGCGCCTCACCGTGCCGAACGTGTTACAATAAAATATCCATTTGTTTTGTGTCTTATCCAACTGCCGTTTAAATCTCTATAACGCCGCGCGATCGTTATACTATATCCGTACCCCTAAGAGCAGGGGGGTAAAATCAGGTTATATGGCACAATTAACGTAGAATTCTTTATATAACGATTAAAGTTCTTCCATGTTTGCTATTATATTCCGTATTTTAGGCGAAAGAAGGATTACGAAAATGAAGAGAATAAGTAATATGAGAGAATTATTGGAGATAAAGTATGTACTTATATGTATCTGAACTGGTTTTAATAAAATAATAAATCCCAACCTTAATACCAAGACATTTACGAAACGTGAACTACTTTGAGACTAATACATTAATGATACCTTGGAATTAATTTATACTATACCCTTGGTACTGATTGCGTCTGCGCTCGCTTAAATTCCAAGAAAGAAGTTTCTGCCGTCCGTGAATTCTATTATTGTCTCCGACAATGAGAGTAATTTTAATGAGTACATTATAATAAGAAATAACGGAAACAATGAGGAGAATCAAGGGAGTTAATGATTTAGAATCTTAAGACTTCTTCATTAGAAATGAAACGAAGCTGCCGGCAACTCGAAAATTAATTTTCATTAGTTTTTCATTAACGACGTTACAATGTCCAGGGCGACTTAATTAATTTCGCGTCCCTATTTAATTTTTTCTCATCTTCTTACGCGGAGGTAAAAGAAGTTATATATAATATAGATTATATATAATTTGAGAAGAGAGCTTGAAATAGTTATTTCGCTAACAATACGACGCCTATTTGAAGCGGAGGCACAATTATTAAATCTTTCGTATGAACTGTGCAGATATGAATGTAGCTCACGAGATTCCACTGTTTCGTCCTCGATTCTATTTCACCGTGAGCACAATGCGACAACTCACGAATATGATTATCGGTTCTTCATAATAATATGGACCCTGAATTTGAAATATCTGCTTACGCAACATCTGGTCGCGAAAACGTAGACACAGCAGAGCAAGGAACGTAGGGCAAAACACGGAGAGCCACGACCCACTTTCGTGTCGTGCCAATTGCTGATCGTGGAACACTCGCAGTCGTAATTAGAGAAGTCTCGATCACCAATTAGAGGCCACGTGTGGTATAAGATCGGTCGTCAGAATTCGACCACCTCGTGAGAACGTTGCCACATACGACTGGAGATGCGTCTCGACTTGTTTCACAAACATCTATCTACAATTGCGTGTACGGGATATCTGAACAGTCGTATCGGTCTTACACTTTATATAGAGCGAAACTGTTGAAAGAAATACAAGTTTCAGAAACCGAATTTAGCAATAATTCTCTTTACAATTTGAATTTTGCTAATCGTCCTTGGTCTTTCTCATATAATCTCGAATACATTTTACGAGCCATCATAGGACACAAGAAATGAACTAGACTATAACTTCTTATCTCGTGTATGAAATTTTAAGACGATCCAATGTCAACGATTTGACATTGTTATTCGTTTTGACTGTCGTCAGTGCCACCCACGAGCATTCTATTCCGGCGGGTCTAAATCGTGGCCTCGTGAAATTTCATATGGCAGACGTTCAACGGCGAGTAAATTATGGTAGGCCGAGTGCTCGATCCACTTCGGTCTCAATATTCTCGAGGAGATTAACAGCTAGAAAGTTCAAGAATTCCGTCTGTCCGTTCCGAGACGAATGATCCAATTCGTTGATCGAATGAATCCATCCCGGTAAATAGTGCGCATTTAACATCGGATTTTTCGGATTAAAACCGTGAAAATTCGATGGCACACTTAATAGAAAAGTGTGTCGAAACCAATATTATTTTTCTTGGCATCGACCTGATGTTAAAGCTAATTTCAAAACACTAAATCGTCGGTCGTCGTTACTTGTTATCGCGATGTTCACGTGGTTTTACATTGTCATAAACTTTATTTACGTGCCATAAATAAATGTAGGACGATTATGCACCGGAGTAGCTAGTATCTGCCTTTCAACACGAAGAGACGATATAACGATCGTTAATTAAAGACAGTAAGAATCGACGCTTCTTATTCATTGGCAATAGTAAAGTGCGCATTATTTTTCAGAGCAGTCGACTTTCACTGTTAAAAATGTAGTAGCTACTTTCGTTGTGTTAGATTTTTAAAAAGAACTTTGTAACTATCTCTGTGCATCGCGGCCCACGTATTCACAATTTTATTGTTAGACATAAAGCTGTGACCTATCCACGTGTGGAATTTAATAGCTCATCTAACGACGCGTGGTCACTAATTGATAAATTGAAATTTAATTGTCCTTCACTATTGAATGAGAACGATGGTACGCGATGGTGAAAGTAACAAGGGTAAGACGCTTGTAGCTGCAAACTAGGTGATGAATTGACTAATTACGAGTGTTCGAAGACGAAAAAAGAAGGGAAGATCGATGCATCGCGATTATCAATTAATTACGGCCAAACGTAATAGTCACGAGGATGATAAAGAAATTCTCCAAGTTCATTAAGACCGATTGCTAATTGAATAATACGTTGTGAAATGTTGATGCTTAATTATTGCTTACTCCGACACATGTTCGTAGCGTAGCTATAAGTACATAAGTTATTCGATGACTTTCGATTATTTAATAGCTACACGTGTGTCCATCGATTACATAGATACGTAAGTGACGAGTAGTTGAAATTAATTAATGAAAGTCGAACTTTTATTCTTGTTAGTAAAAATAATAAAAGAATGCAAGACTCGAAGTAGTTTTTGAAGACTGATGACCTCAAAAAGTTTTAACTCCAATTATCTTTTATCTACCTATTTGAATTCTCTATCCTTAATCATTTATGGTCAACAAGCGATACTTTCACGTTAACAATAACGAAGCGCCGATTTATTTTCCTTTAAATGGCAACATCGCGTCTGCAAGTTTAAAGTTTAAATGCAAATTGCAAATGCGGCGACAGGTTAATACGAGGACACTCAATTTTATATGATCTCTTTTTCCTACTTTTCGTCCACCACTCTTTTGCATTAATTGCAGTCGACATCGCGAGGGCCAGACGCGTTCCACTTCAATGCAATATGTGCAACATATTTTTTGCTCGTTACCGGAAAAGGAATGAAATAACTGTGCGTAGAATAACATTTTGGAAAGCAAAGAAGTTTAGTTGAAGAGCAGTTTGTGCATGAAAATGAAATGAACTTGAGTTACGTACGATTTATTCTGCTTCTTAAGATTTCTACATCTTTTCGAAAATAGGATAACGTAATCTTCTCTAGCGCGTTGATAACAAAATGTTGTTCTAGATTTATGTTCATGCATTTACTGTATTTTTTACTATGAAAAGAATGAATAGATTAATGATCACACGAAATAATATCCAGAGAGTACGTGAAATGAACTAAAATATACCAATAAAATGTTAACAATTAAGACACATGAGGCATGATCGCGGTAGAATACATTTTCCCTCGTGGAAACAATTTGTAATAAATGAAACAAAGTGTTGCGTGCATAGTGAAAGAAATTTGGTATAGCCTGATATAAAAAAGGAAGAAGAACAAAAGAATTACCTGCTGAACAGAGGATGCCAGAGTTGCGATTCGTCAGGCGAATTGGCGGTGGAACTGACTACCGGTTCCTGCTTAAGCAGTCCGTTTCTAACCCTGAGCAGCGGCAGATATGAGACAACAGCGTTGTTGCTGTTATTTCTTCGACTACTGGAGAGATCGATCGGCGCCGGCATTAGCGTGCCGATCGGTTTGCAGCTTAGCTTCGGTCTCGTTTGCGACGCGGTCCTCGTTTCGTTGCTCGCGTGACCGGACCCTTTGTTAGTGCCGTTGATGCTGCTCCTGGTATGGGACTGTCGTGATCGCGAGACCGGGCCCTCGCCGTGATCGAGGACGTACTGAAGATGAGCCAACGATATCACTAGTAAATCTGGATCCCTGAGAAGATCCGGTCGGGTCAACGCCTCCGGCAACCTCAACTCCGGCCTCGAAGCTAACAATTTCGGGATTTCAATGGCCGGAGCCGCCGCAAGACCCGGCAGATAGTCCCTGGGTACCAAAAGCGGGTCGGGTATTAAATGGCCGGAAGTTTCGACCAACTCTCTAAGCTGACTAGCAGGATCCAGGAGCTTGTCGGTGCTACTGGACGTAGCGAAGGCTTCCTCCATCGCGTGCATGCGCACCTTCCCCGATGATTTCTGATGATAGGAACTCGATTGGTTTTTCTGCTTCATCGATGTCCACTCGGTACACATTGGCCTCTTGAGTGTGGCACGATCCACCACGGGATACGTGTTGTGGATGTCGCCGCTGGAAATCGGCTTGCCCGAGTTCTTTACTTCTTGGACGCTCAGTCTCTCCTGGAAAGTTCTGTTCTCGTTTTTCTTCGCACTGCCAGCTTTATCTTCGTCCTTCGGGAGGTCTATACGAATAGGCAGATGATCGCTAGGCACCTGATCGCAACGACTCGAGAGATCCTTTTGCTTCTCGTAGTCCCGTAGTTCCAACTGATTGGGCGACGACAGGAGACCTTTCAAGGTTAGATCGTTCCTCGCGTCCTCAGAACAGGACACGGAACAGGGAGGACTAGGCAACAGTCTCTCAAGGTAGGCTGAAGAGGGTCTCCTGGAAGCCGGAGAACATGGGATTCCACTTGGTTGCGGCGAGACGACCGTTCCACGGGTTCTGAGTTCCTCCAGGACTTGTTCGTCAAAATGTTCCACATCTTGGAATCTGCTTTTCGCCTGGGCCTCGCTGTTTCTGACCTGTTTGTGGAAATAATCGGACTCACAGGCTAAAGACTCGTTTTTCTGTTGCCTGAGATCTTCCAATACCTGGGAATCGTAATCATCCTCATCATCCTCCTCAATCTCCCTTTCGTCCTCGACCTCCTCGCGAGAAAATCTGTCCAGCTTAGATACGTAAGCTTCGTTCTTCGTAAAATTCACCGTACTTTCCGGCGACTCGACACGTGATTTGGTGCTCGGAGAAATTGCATTGCTCGTAACCACCACAGAACTTCGGTACCGGTAACTGGGTATGATGATAGACAAACCGGGAAGGTTTTTCGGAGAAGCCGCTGTATCCCTCGTTTCCGTGACTGAATCCACATTCTTCAACAACCTTTCCACGCACTCCGCCTGGGAATCCGGGGATCTACTCGACGACGATGCCTTAGAGGCTGGTCTCGACGGCGTTGCCGAGATTTTAGTATCCTCCGGCGTGTGGATCCTGGTAACGGATATTGAAAGACCCGGGGTTTTTCTCAGCGCATCCAGGATCTTTGAACTGTCATTGTAATCCATCTTCGCCGGCTCCCCTGGCTCATCGGGTCGTTCCTCTGTAGCTTCCAGTCGCGCATCGTCATCGACTTCGATACTTTGCCACTTAGTGTTGGAACTCGATTTACACTTCGGTCGCTTGCCGACACCACCATCCGCCTCGGCGATTTTACACGACTCAGGAGTCTTACTTATTACAGAAACGTAGACGACATCGTTTTTTAGTCCAGGCTTCTCTTCAATTCCCACGATTTCGTAGTTCGCGAGGACCTTCTCCTCGTGTATCTCTATCTTATCGTCAGCAAGATTCTCATCGATGTCTTCCTGTCGAAAAATCGAGATCACGTTCGATCTCCTTTGTTCCTCTAGCTCCATCAGCACTGCAGAGTTCGAATCTTTGATTTCGCTCTCGCTCGCAGTCGCTTTGCCATGGAAGTTCTCGTTGAGAATCTCGTATGTTTTTGTTGAATCGACGGGCAGATCGGCAGTAGGTGTATCGGTGGCTAAAACCGGCGAAGCAGTGACATCGATCATGTTCAGTATATCCTGAATACCTGACTTATTCACATGCCTTCGTTTTTCATTATCCATCGTCGATTTCTCCTCGTCAGTGATACTATCATCCTCGGCCTGTTGTTTCTCGACGATTTCCCGTCTCTGAAGAGCATTCCGATACACACCCCCGGGCAATCGGGAAAGGTGTAGCTGTTCCAGCACTACCCGTGGCTGGAACAACTTGTTCTCCTGCAACCTTTCAAGGTTATTCCTCGCGTTGCATCTCGCTGCTTCCTCCTCCGCCTTGTTCTCATCACCCTCCTCATCTTCCTCCACTTCGTCCTCCTCCTCGGAACACGACGCGGCACTTGGTTGGTCTTCGTCCCAATTGATCCTCGCGTAGTTTCGCATCTCCTCCAACGGGAAACCGTAACCGTGTCTATGTTTACTCTTTCTGTTAAACTCACCGCAACTTCTCTTCTTTCCATCGCCGTCTGCGGCGATCAAACCGTTCGTACGTCCGTTCGCCAGCTCTTCCCCAAGGATACGCTGCTGATGAACGTTCGTCGTTACGCGTGCCACTTGTTTCCCTTTTTCTTCGTTCGCGTCGGACGTATTCGAAGAGTTCGCGCTGCACGTCTTTTGGGACGCGACACCGAACCCGATCGAGTACATGTTGGAGGCGGTCCTCGGTATCGAACGCCATCCTTGCGCCGTCTTTGTTAACTTAATACGATTTCGTTTATCATAATCCTCGCATTTCACCTCGACGATCCTCTGCTCGCGTTGCGACGCCCAGAGGAATATCGGATTCACCTTTGGCCGTTTTTCGTCCGGTTCCTCTGATCGGTCCTCACTGACTTGCTCCTGGTGATGTTTCTGATGATGGTGATGGTGGTGGTGATGATGATGGTGATGGTGATGATGATGGTGACGTCTTTGACGACGGGGCGCTGTGCCCCGTGCAGGGGCCCCGCTCATCACTCCATCCAACGAGCGGTTATTACTCTGCCACTCGTCCACCGAAACGACTTCTTCTTCCTTCAACTGTACCCGCTTTTTCGTTCCTGTCTAATAACTTTCAATTACACCGGTTTATCTATTCGGCGTTGCAACGTCTAATAACTGCACACGCTCCAAATATTCGCCGTACATAAAAATCCACGAGAATTTCGAAGTCAGCTTGATCGAACCTCGGGCCATTGACATTGTTGAGGTCGACGTTCATCCGGTTATCGAACCGCGGCGCGATGCAAGTCGATTTTCATCGGGGCATCTACAACGTCGATTTGCATCGAGCTTGTGGCGTCGACTCCGTCGAGCTTACGGCTGGCAGCACTGAATATGTTCGACCCATCGAGCTTCTCTCAAACCTATCTCACTCCGTTCGCCGGGTCTATTTCTCTCCACGTTTCACTCGCTCTCACACTCGGTGCTTGCACGCTGGTCGCGCCGACCTCGTCGCACCCTAAATCTCTCTCTTCGAAATTCTTTTAATCCTTTCCACCGCGTTTCAAACGGCCGAGACCTCAAGGTCCGCTTCCAGGCAGTCGCCGTTCTCCGGTTCTCTCAGTTTACCTCTAAATATTTCGTCCCACCGGAGACTAGCCAGGGGCACCCTTAGTCTTGCCCATACATTCAACGACGAGGTCGTGGTAGCTGTCGAACAATTGTCATCGATGACATAACACCCAAAGGATCCTATATCACCGGTTACACGTCGTTACGCGCGGAGTCACTGTCTGGGAGCTACTGTCCGTACCTCCTCGTTGCCTTCCACTTCGTCGCCACCGCCCCCGCTCCGCGGAATCGTGTCTCAGTGACGAACCTATCCGCGGAGCCCCAATCTTATTCACAGTTCACCAAATTCTATGCAAACCATGAAGCAATGTATATAAAGCACTTGAATCGATCTTGAAATTTATTTAAATCGGAACAAATTTTATTCGAGTATTGCAATTCCGAATTGTTTCTCGAATAATGAAAACTGAAACCTTTATTCGTTACCAAACTTTAGTTTACACGGTTTATCTGCCTTTGATCGTTTGTCAGCTAAAGCCGAAATTGAGCATCAAGTAAAATTTCAGATAAATATACTTTCATAATTTACGACTGATGAATTTGTTAATACTTAAGTGTTTAGTTACGCTATTTAGTAAAATATGGAATTGCAATAATTATTTTCAAAGTTATTACTATTTCAGTACATATTCACTTTGCATTTCTCTTATACCATGTACAGATCCTGTAAGCACTAAATACAACATATCTGTACACAATTTCTTAATACAAAAGTATTTAACTATTTCCACACAAATATTTAATTATTTTCAACGAAGTTATGCTGTATATGACATCAAGTATAACATCGTAGTAGCTGTGAAGAAAAAATACATGAAAATGTTTCTCAGAAGTGCGTTACAATGAATTTATTTATTTAGCAAATTGGAAATTGACCACTGCGATTGTTTGAACGCGAATACGGGGTGATAACAGGAATTGTGCCGTCAGTATCGCGTTCATACCCCTCACCCCGAGGTAGCTAGCTCGCGACCGGAGCACCGACCACGAAGAGAGACGGAGGGAACAACGAACGAGGACAGATAGAGTGTAAGAGAATGGAATAACCTGTGTGTATATACGGGTATACAGAGTGTACCAAAGGTAACTTCGATTACAATGGTATCAACCATTTTATCAGTGTTATAACGAAGAAAAATTGCACCGATGAATTTACACGTATCGACGACCTTTCTACGCTTTTACTCTCTTTAACTATGATTATGAATAACTAAAGTTTTTAAAATTTTTGTCTATCTTCAATATGTATTATAACGAAGGTAGAAGGTCGAGACATTTTCAAACTTCAAACAAATATTCTCTTTGAACATCTCTTTTATTCACGGTCTTTTCAAATAGGATAGAGCTCGGATTAATGGGGGAAAGGTATTGAACTTCATCCTAACATTCCGTTCGTAGCTAATGATTTAGAAAAAAATGTTATTCCATCGCGCGGAAACGAAAAATTTCAATTATTTCAACCGTGTCTCATTCGAATGAACAAGATGCCAATGTATTGGAGGTTTTCCGGGAAAAAGGCATTCACAAGTCACAAATGAAACCAGACAAAAAAGAATAGTACAAACGAAAGAAGAGTGCTGGTATTTTGTGGACGAGAGATTTAACCGTGTCTCCGACGTGGAACTAGTTTTCGATAAACGAGCACCTCCTCGTTAAGTGGCTCCACGAAGGGGGCCGAAATCGTACTCACCCTATATCCCCCGAGAGTGTTAGGACAGCGAGAGGGACGGGACGCGAAACGTGAACGTAGGAGGGAAAGGGAGGAATCGGGTACGAGGAGGGAGCAGCGGGACAGAGAGAGAGAAATATTTTTATTAAAAGAAGGGAGGGGTAAGCTAATGGAGGAAGAGAGACAGATTTCGCGACGCAGTACACCGTGTCGGATGCTGATGCTGCATTAAGCCCCGTTTGCACTTCCGCCCTACCATTCGTGGGCTTCGATCCTTCCCGACTCTGTCCCCTCGTTTTTAATAATTTCCACTTTACGCGATATTCGTGACGTTCACGTTGAGAACGACACGCCCGCTTTTTAGCTTTCAGCTGATCGCGAGCAACAGTTCAATCGAGCAATTTTTAATGAAACGGTGCTCTTTGAAAATATAACGTTAACTTATTTCACGAAGCCGAGGACGCATATATAAATGTTGTATGCGCGTAGGAACACGAGGTTTTTATCAAATGCATAATTATCTTCAACGTACTTCCTGCACGCCTATTCGACGTATATTTGTATGTACATTTCAAAGAGAGGGTACACAGCGAAATTCACAATGCAAGGTCTCATTGTGCCAGAGAACCATCGACAAACAATGTTACAAGGAGGGGACTGCGTGCCTAAGGATATAATCATAAAAGAAATCCTTCCAAACGGAAGCACTATTGACTCGGCTCCGTTCCGTGGCATCGCGCAGTCAATGGTATCGACCCGACGATTCATAACTTTGTCAAGCTGCTACTCGCGATCTTATCCATTCAGCAACGATTTTAACTAGCATATTGTTTGAATAGAACTGAATATTATTACTCCCTTGAGCGAACGTGTAATAGCAACTCGATATTGTATGTTACGTTAGTTCTATGTTCATCTCTATGGTATTCGATTAGGTATTCAACAATCTATATCCATATATTCAGCATGTTGAATAAAAAATGTCACGTCATTTTGTTTCCTTGTTAATTCCATCGAAAATAAGATTTCTGCTTATTCAAAGAGAACTAATAATTCTAATGTAGGTCTTTTTAGATGTATTTCATTTTGCTTGTGATTTTATATGAAAGAGAGGTGGAAACTGATGAAACATTTTTTCAAATAGTAGTTTCATAACATTTTAGAGCTCATTGACTGATATTCACACGGGTGAAATACTTCATCGGATACTCGATGTTCAACACCCGTGTTTATGAAAATTTCTCATTCAGAGTTATCTACATCTGGGATAACACCACCGTAGCTGCTCAAATTTTAAGGCATTTTTGGAAATCTTTTAGAGAAAGAGCAAAGTGTACAGAAAGTCTATTTGAGATTATTTATTATATGCGTATGTTCTAAAGTATAAAAAAACAGTTCTCGTAATTTTTTTATTAAAATGACAGCCCAGCAGCAACTATTTGAAGACATTCTTAAAATTCAAGCCAAAATAAAATGTAATCCTGCAAACCATTTTGTACTAGCTTGCAACAAAAAACCAGAAATGTTCATTTTTCGAATCATTTAAAATCCTTCAGTGGATAGTCGTTTTTAAAAAATTTCCATGTGTGATGTAGAAGACTCTAAGTATGTATCTATTATTTTTAAAAGTATAAAGAATATTTTAAACCAAGAAAAATTTGTTTCTTGACTACCAGTCATAATGATGTTACCCATTAAATTCGGCTCTATTAGCAATTGAGTAGATCTGATCGTATCGTGATTGTCCGTTTGGCTGGGAAAGAGCCGACAGGGAAATAGAAGAAGATGCATTTTTCTCGATTCAAGGTTCATCGAGGGCCGCATTCTTCCGCCGGTGCCACGGAGTTCCTGCTATGTCGTAGACAAAATTGTCGCGAGTCTCGCGTGCGTTCACGGTCAGTGACGTCTCCCTTCTACATACGTATTCTCATTCTCCCTTGTCGCGTCCTGGATGTCCATCACGTGACCTTGCTAGTGTACCTTGTGTTTGCCACGATGCGATGCGACACGACGTCGCGAGTAACCACGACAAAGAGCAAAGCTATCCTGGTGAAACTGACTTATACCCATTACTTTCTGTCTGTTCTACTCATATTCAAGATCGGCAACAATAATTCATGTAGTTTTATTCCTGAGTCCATATTGAAAATGTACACTATCATAATAAGTAAACGAAAGTGTGTATTATGTGTATTAAAAAAAGAGTATAATTGTATTAAATAGAAAACATGATTTAAACTAAATTGAGTGAAACGCCTTTTAAATTTTAGAATTATTGGTCGCCACTTCATAGTATAATATATTTTTTTATTTGACTTTGTTATTTTAATGTAATATTTCACTTTTTGAGTCTAAAAAGCAAACGTCTCGTTTAAAATGTTCTTAAACTGGTATTTTTATTCGTTAGAAGAAATCAATGCCTCCACCCTCGAGCGCGATTACTGTTGGTAACAACTGAATCACATGAGTAGCTTCCGCCAGGTAATTCGAGAAAGTCTACGCTTGATAGAGTACTGTGGAAGTCTACTTGAATTCTGATAAGTACTGGATAGTGATACAAGACAGATTAAATGTCGACGCCTCCCTTTGTTTATCTTATGAAGCATTCTTGCTTGAACAATTAAAAATGCATTGAATTCAATAAATGGTAATTACATTAGATGTACTACGCAATTAGGACGGGTCATATCTCGAATTAGGAACAGATAGAAAAAACTGTAATGGGAAAAGTTGAATGGTATGATAGTGTCTCTTCCTCTGCGTTTTCGTCTTCTTTAAGAATGTAACGATGCACCGACGAAATACAAATGTACTTTGTGTTTAAATAGAGCTGCATATATTTTCTTACGAGACACTCTGAAGTAAACAAGAGCAGTATTTTGTGACGTATCTCATATTTTTGATTCCCCTGTACAATTTCTTCTTATCTCTTACTAAATTCCAAATATAAGCCGTCGCAATTCCCTGACGCACACTGTACATATACATATAAATAGAGAAACATACTTTTTTACATTTATGTTTAATAATGCTTTACGTTTTAAAAATGATATCACATACTATGTAAAATAATAGTGAAGTACATGTACATTCCTAATGTAAAATTCAATTAAGAATGTATTGGCTATACAGTCAATCCCAAAAGTTTATGTACTTTAGAAAAACGCATTTCCTATAATTAAAAAGAAATCAGACG